CATTCATCCACCCACTCATTCATTCATCCACCCACTCATTCATTCATTCACTCACTCACTCATTCACCCACCCACTCATTCATTCACCCACTCATTCATTGACCCACTCATTCATTGACCCACTCATTCACTCACCCACTCGTTCAACCACTCACTCACTCGTTCACCCACTCATTCACTCGTTCACCCACTCATTCACTCACTCACCCACTCATTCACTCACTCACCCACTCATTCAACCACTCACTCATTCATTCACCCACTCATTCACTCGTTCACCCACTCATTCATTTGTTCACTCACTTATTAATTCACTCATTCACCCACTCATTCACTCATTTACTCATTCACCCGCTCACTCATTTGTTCATTTACTCACTTATTCATTAATTCGCTCGTTCACCCCCTCACTGACTCATTCATTCATTCACCCCATTCATTTTCTCATTCACCCACTCGTTCATTCCCTCGGTCACTCCTTCATTCACTCGCTCACAGTGACCCTGCGACTGCTCAGGGCAGCAGGCATTTGGTCACGTGCTGAGTCACGTGGCAGCTCTGCCGCAGACGCGGAGGTGAATCAGTCAAACCCCACCCTGTCCCCATAGGGCTCCAGGCGTGGGGCAGTGTGCAGAGCTGTGACGGCAGCCCAGGCACTGGGAAGGTGACAGGCAGGGAAGGTGGTCCAAGAACAACAAGAAACCCAAGAAGGAGGGCTGGGGTGAGCGCTCCCAGTAGGGGTGAGAGCCGGGGAGCATGGGGAGTGACTGAGTGGCTCAGGCTGGCTGGGGTAGGTGAGTGACAACTGGGGGGAGGACCAGAAGGTCTGGGCACCATGTCCCTGAGCGTGCTGGACTGGACTCTAACGGGGCTCCAGGCTGGGTGGGGGTGCCACGAGTCAGGAAGCAGGGGGCACATGTGGTCTTTGGTGGAGGGGACACCACTCAAGTGGCGCATCGGTTCCGGGGAGTCTGCGGCTAAGGCCTCCTCCCCCTGAAGAGGGCAGGTGGTGAGACATCACCGCTGGGTGAAAATGACTCCCCTCATCCAGGATGCCGGCTTGTCCACCCTCCTCGCTGGATGTGCGGATATCCCGAGAGACAACCACACCCGTCGTTGCTGCCTTGAGCCCTGGGTTGGGGGGTCAGTCCCCCTATCACCCTGGAATGATCTCAGATTGGTGGGTGGAGCACAGTGGGAGCTGTGGTCTCTACCGGCCTACAACCCTGTGAGTGCAGCCAGCCCGGGCTCTCTCTGAGCCTTGTTGTGCGGAAGCAGAAGCAACCGTATCACCCGCCTCACCTCCCAGCAAGACAGCAGATCCTAGAAAGAACTGACAGCCTGGAGAAGGTTAAGGGCCCTGGCTGCAGCTTCACTCCAGTAGCGCCAAGCACTCTCCCATGACGTCCCCACACTGAGCACCACGTGTGCACTGACCCTTTTCCCAGATGAGGACACTGGGAAGCAGGGAGGAGAGGTGACGTCCCAGGGTCAGGCAGCTGGCCCGTGGCTGGCTGGGAACTGACGCCACTGCTCTGTGCTCAGCTGGTCTCTCCGTGGCCTGGCCCTCAGTCTGCCTTCCACCTAGTATGTCCTAGCCAGAGAGCTCTGCAGCTTGGCACTTGTCAACTCCCACCATTTATTTGTTAAATGTGAACGTACAGAGGTTCACTTGGAGAGAAGCCCAGCAGGGGGAGGCTTAACGTCCCCAGCTGCGGGGTTCTGCAGTCAGAGCAGTGAGATCACCGGCATGGCACCCGCTCTGCACTCCCTCCCTCCTTGCTCCCATGGCTTCTGCAGTGTAGCTGTCACCCAACCGTCCCCAACCAGGCAAAGGGCAGGGCTGTGCCTTGTTCACCTGTGTCCTCGGCTGGGTCAGCACTAGCCCTGGTCCACAGGGGACTCAATAAGCCCTTGCTAAATAGCGGGCTCTGATATCCTTGAAGAAACCATGGTTCTAGAATATTCCATAGTTCTAGGGCCGGTGCTCCTCTGTCAGGAGCACAGAAGATCTTTCTCATAGCATATAAGGCCCCTGGGCGCATTCTGGCATTAAGCCAGCTGGGTTGGGGTGGACCAGGTCCCTGCCCCATTAAAGGAGAAGCCATCAGAGGCCTCCACACTCACTAGCAAGGGTGGGGGCAGAGAGAGCAGGAAACACTTAGTGCTCAGGGGCCGAAACAAATCACCCTCTTAATGGACTTTTCCATTGGAGTCGAGCTCCTTGACTTCAATTTACCCCCAGCTGGAAAACAAGCACATCGAAAGTTACACCACATCATAACATAGCGAGGTCAGCTCTGCAGGGGCAGCCCAGGAAAGGAACGAGGGCATATAAGGACACCAGGGGACACTGGGTGCCCACACCCCTTCTGGCTTACCTCCTCCGAGGTCCTGGGCTTCCATGTGGACCAAGTCAGGGTCGGCGTCCACCCCAGACACGGCCCTGGAAGAGAGTATGTGGGAGTCAGCGCTGGACCGAGTCCCAAGCCCCTCTCCCAGTTCCTATGTCAGTCCCTGAGTCCCAGGTAGCTACCAGGCCTCCCACGGCTGGAGCCACTCTTACTCTGTGGGTGTGAGAGCACAGTCCTCCCCACCTGCTCCTGGGGAGGTAGCCAGAAATCGAGGTTCGCTTGATATTCTTTTTGTGGTACTCTTTATAAAAGACTCCCCTTTACCAAAGGCCTTCACATTCCTTGCATCTTGACCATGGCTGCTTTTGCTCTGTTTCGCTGGTGATCCAAATACTCCAAGGAGACTAGGTGGGCCTTGGGAATATCACCCTGAACTTGCAAATTAGGACACTGAGGCTCAGAGGAGCCAAATGGCCCCTGACCCCCACCCAAGGGCACACAGCTCTACAGGCAGATCCAGGACTCACACCAGGCTCCCTTGCCTCCACCACACTGCTCCCTGCCCACCACCCACGACGGTGCCAGCTCCTCCCTTGCCCATGTGGGCCCAGGGCTCAGGCAGCGCCCAGGATGCAGCGGGGCCTACAGCTGCTCACGGAGCCTTCCACAAGAGCTGAGGAGAATAGACAAAGGCGCATCCTTGGGTCTCCACTTACAGGGGAGGCAGGGACGAGGCCGACAGCCTCGGGGACTCCCGGCACCCGGCACCCAACCAGCACAGAGCCTGGCACCTGAGAGGTCAAGGGCACACTCTCCAAGTGAGAAGACCCTGTGGGGGGTGGGGCGCACCCTGCCGTCCCCTGGTGCTCCAATTCGGTGGCACCAGCCACTAGGCCCCCAGGTCTATTTCAAGGTGAGGTTTGCTTCAGGCCCTTGTTACTCCTGTGCACTCCCAGGAGCGAGGTCTCCTGCCTGACCGTTGTCTCTCTTTTCTGAATAAAGTGGCATTGTTCCCTTTACCAGGGGCACTGGCCGGTCCTCAGCTGGCTGGTGGGGTTTTAGTGTGACTGCTGGTCATTTGCAGGGTGCGGTAGTCACACCGGCCAGCTCTTTCACTCCCTCACTCATTCCCTCCCTCACGAATTCCCTCCATCCCTCCCTCATTCATTCATTCTTTCCCTTATTCCCTCCCTCGTTCATTCACTGACTCCCTCCCTCACTCCCTAATTCATTTATTCCAACCCTCATTCATTCATTCATTCCCTCATTCATTCATTCATTCATTCCCTCCCTCATTCATTTGCTCCCTGACTCCCTCGCTCCTTCCTTTACTACCTCCCTCATTCATTCATTCCCTCCCTCATTCACACATTAATTTATTGGCTCACTCACTTGCATTCATTCATTCATTCCCTTCCTCACTCTCATTCATTCACTCCCTCATTCCCTCATTCCCTCATTCCTTCACTTACCCGCTCACTCCTGCACAGACTCACTCACCCCTCAGTCTGCACTTGCCTCCCCTTAGCAGGGCTCTACACCCCCCACCAACTCTCTGGCTCTCCCATTGGAACATCTCCAGAAGTGAACTCCAGGAGCCCACATCAGGTCCTGGACCAGGCAGGGGCCCAGCGGGTAGGGGTCCCTCCCCAGACACCTTTGGTCATGGGTTCTGAAGACCACTCAAGGCTGGGTGTCCAGCCACGCAGCTAGAGCCCAGCTCCCTGCAGGGAAGGACACAGTGTTGACCCCCATGCCTTCTGGTTTGTTGGGGTCCCCAAAGATGGCCTGTGGGGAAGCCCCTTAGAAACAGCAGATGCATGAGACGAGCCCCGGGCAGGCAGATCTCTGGAGACCTCAGTGCTCTGGGGACACGGGCGGTCAGCTCTCACCCCTGCTGAATACCACCAGCTCTTATAAACCCTCAAGGACTCTGCCGGGCCGGGAGTGGGGCGAGGTCTCTCCTCACCCAACCTCCACCGCCGAGGCCCTGTCACTTGTCCCACACCTGGACAGGCGCTGACCTGATGGGAGAGGAAGGCTGAGGCTTTATGGGTCTGCTCAGGCCCCAGCAGAGAAACAGACCCAGATGTGTGGTCATCAGCTTGCCCCCACCCCAGACAGAGGCAGTCATGGTCCCGGGCTGCTGCTTATGGGCAGCAGGACCCCAGAACTGTGCCCTGGCCTCCCTGTGCCTCAGTCTCCCCTGCTGTCACATGAGGGGAAGACGACCAGGGTCTGAGAAGATAATGCATGCAGACCCCCGGTCTGGTGCCTGGTAGACGGTCAGCATCCATGATGTGGCCACTCCCAGAGGAGAATGTTCTGGTTTTGTTCCAGACCCACTGAGACACCACAGGGAAGGCAGTGAGCAGGTGCAGGCCTCCCGCCCCCGGGCTGCTCCTCCCAGGGGCCCCCAAGATCACGCTAATGAGCTTGCTTGCTGTTCAACCTCCCAAAGCATGAAGGGGTCCAAGCCTCTGACAGAACGCAGGCTTCGGCAATTCCCGCTGTCAGATCAAGGACAAAGAGTGCCCTAGAAATGCTGTCAAAACAGCGTTATTCACTGCTTGCAAGAGGGGGGCCCGCGGCTGCCTGTCACTGCATTCCAGGAGAGGTTCCCGGGCCCCAGGGGCCAAGTGTCCGGCCTGATAATCTTTCACACATAACAACTCAGGGCAATTTGAGAAACTTGGGGGAGAAATAATTTGATTTACGCAAGATAATAACATGTTTGAATTAGTGCCAATTTACCTTGCAGTAACTGTGGGCAGGTTTGCCTCTTGGGCCTGAGAGATCCCTGAGCACCTGGTCCCGCCGAGGAACGGTGCGCACGGCTGTGCTCCGCCACTCCGCCAACCTCTCAAGCCCTGGCTCTTGGGAAATGGCCCCTCCATGCCCTTCCCCACCTCCTGGGGGCCCTGGGGTGGCCACAGCTGACATCAGTGACAAGGCCAGTGATGGATGAGGCACTCGGGGTGCCAAGTAAGGAAACCGGCCCTCCCACAGGTGGCCATGTGGCGGAAGCCAGCCTCCCGCCACCCCCCCCCCCCCCCCCCGCAGGCCCCCGGGTGGCCCCCCCCCCCCCCCCCCCCCCCCCCCCCCCCGCCCCGCAGAAGCCCCGCAGAAGCCCCACAGGCCAGCCGCCAATACTCCAGCTAGTGAGGCGGGCTTCCCTCTGGCCTCGAGGCTGTAAACCAGGAAACGAACTCTTTGCGAGACACACAGAGCACAGGAGGGAAAGGAGAGCTCTTTCCACGGGGCTTCTCTGAGGGGGAGACAGGACTGTGGCCCAGTGAGAAGGCCAGTGCATAGTCTGTCCTACAAATGAGGTGAGAAAGGGAAAGGCTAGGAGTGTGTGCGCACGCGTGCACGTGTGTGTGTGTGCACATGTGCTAGAAAGAGCCATTTGGTTGGAAGAACATGTGTGTAAGCCACGTCTCTCCAGGGGCAGTTTGGGCAGAAGAAGTGACCATGGCCATGGCTGGCAACCGGCAAATGGGGGCCCTGAGCCAGCGGGACTCCCAGCTTCCACGCCCTCCACGGCGCTGCCCTCCAGCACTCAGCCCACACGGGCCTCACTCACGCAGCTTGACCAGACTTGACCACTGACCGGTCTTGAGCACCAAGTCTCCCCACTGAGGCAGTGAGGCTAGAACATGGCTCAGATGGATCACTGAGTGGCTCCCAAGAGATACCCAAGTGTGGGAGGGGAGACTGGGCACTGGATGGGGGCGGGAGAGCGGGGCCAAGGCAGGCAGGGGTGGAGGAAGCATGGGGTAGGGGAGGCTGCATGGGAGGGGGGCAGCTAGTCAGGGGCTGAGTTAGGACCTGGGGCAGGAGTAGGGAGGCAGAGGAGGAGGGGAGGAGGAAGGGCAAGGGGTAGGAAGGATGGAGGGAGGGAAGGTGTGGAGGGGGGAGGGGGAAAGTGAGGAGGGGAGAGGGCAGGTGGCGAGGAGGGGGTGGCAGGAGTGGTGAGGTGGGCGAGGCAGGGTGGTGAAGAGGGGGAGAAAGGGGTGGTGAGGAGGAGAAGGAAGTGGAGGTAGGGAGGAGAAAGGAAGGGTAAGAAGGAGGGAGGGGGTTTAGAGAAGAGAAGGAGGGGAGGGGAGGAGGGGGAGGTAGGGGTGGTGAAGGGGAGCCAGGGGAGTGGGGAGGATGAAAGGGGAGGGGTAAGAAGGAGGGAGGGAGGGAGGGGAGGAGGGGAGAGGGCAGAGATGTCAAGGAGGAGGGGAAGCAGGGGAGTTGGGGAAGGGACATGTAGAGGGGAGAGGGAGAGGGCGTGTGGGGGAGAGAAGGAGAGGAGGTGAGAAGGGGAGAGAGAAGGAGTGGTGAGGAGGGGGAGGCAGGGAAGGTGAGAAGAGGGAGGTAGGGAAGGTGGGAGGAGGAGGCAGGGGAGGCGAGGAGGGGGAGGCAGGTGTGCTGGGGAGGGGGGGGCAGGGGTGGGGAGGAGGGGGCCAGAGGGGGGGGGGGGGGGGGGCGGGGGAGGGGGGGGGGGGAAGAGGGCAGGTGGGGAGGGGAGATAGGTAGTGGGCCTACTGTGTGCTGGGCACTGTGCCAGCCTGAGGTACTTGGCTCCTGTTTGCACCCTGGAGGAAGCAGGAGCTCAGAGAGGGACCAGCCCACATCAGGTTGCATAGCTGGGTCACGGGTGCACAGGTGACCTGAGGGACAGCGAGCCTCGCCTCTCCACCATTTCCTAAGTTCCCAGCAGAGTGGAAAGAGCACCTGGAGGTCCCCCTGGGGTGAGGAGGTCCATGGCTGGAGTCAGAGGCAGGAGAAGGTAGGGAGCCCTAAGCTGGGGGCTGCGGGGAGAAAAGGGGAGCCCTGGCCCTTGGGATTGGGGGGTCCCCATTGTGGGGAGGCTCTCACCAGAACACGTGGTCTTTGGTCACTCGCTCCAGCAGAAGCGTCCACTTCTTCCCCAGGTCCGATGACACATAGAGCTTGGCAGAGAGAAGAGAAACAGAAGTCTGGTCACGCCTTGAGGATGAGCCTCTTCTGAGCTGGGGTGACCCCTCCTGGACGACGAACATGCCCCAGGCAGGCCCCGCACCCACACCTCTGAGAAGCCAAGGGTCAAGCAGAGGAGCTCCAAGAAGAGCCACTCTCGCCCCCCAGCCTGCTGGTAGGAACTGAGGGAAACTGGCCAGGCAGATCCCCAAGCTAGGCCTGGGCTGGGGATGTCAGGGTCAGCCCTCTGTGCGCTGAGTCCCGAGGCAGGGCTGTGGGAGCCTGGGGATGGGGGTCTGCCCTTGCCACACAGTGTCCCTGATGTTAAATAGCCTGTAAAAAGCACTGTGACATCCTGCCCCCGACCCCTTGCTGCCGGCGCCCACCTTGGAGGGGAAGAGAGCCACAGCTGAGGGAACTCGCTCAGGGGTACTGGGATACTGTCGCGTGGTGACAGGTGGGAGTTACGCCTGCAAAGAGCACAGTGTAATGCAGGGACTTGCCCGGTCATTATGCTGGATGCCAGAAACAGATGGAGCATTGTGGGTCCCTCCAGCAATAGAAGCAGCCCGCCAGGCCAGGCTGAGAGAGAGGCTGCAGGCTTTCCTGATTTTGCAACATCTCTCATATATGCTGGACCCTGCAGGGCACACGTCCAGCCCTGCGGAGACCTCCGGGCTGCGTGCAGCTGGTAGGATGAGGCCCTTGTGGGGCTGCAGGGCTCCCAGAACACAGGCACCCCGTCTGTCCCTCCCCTCATCTCCCTCCAGCTGGGCCCTGATTCAGCCCGGGGGCGAGAACTAAGGCCGCCTCCCCCCCCCCCCCCCCCACCGCCCGCCGAGCTGGGATGCGGGCAGGTCTACAGTCCAGGTCCCAAGGCATCTTTCATTGGTGCTTTTGCCAAATTTCCTTTGCCACCCTCCCTGGTTGGGGGGTTGTTGGGGGTTGGTTCGTGGGAATGCTGAAACATCCCCTCCATTCCTGAGAGCAGAGTAGACCATGAGGGTGTTAAGGGATCCATAGGCCCATGAAGCAGGACACACACATGGAAATCCTACACAGCCCACATGGAGCCCAGAGACCCAAGCATTCTGTTGCAGAGGCAGGGCTGGGCGGGGACACTCAGCGGCCACTCCCCAGCCGAGAGGGCTGCTGTGCTTGGGGACAGAGAAGACCTGGTTCCCTTGAGCCCTGTCTGGCAGTCCCTGTGCTGCCTCAGTTTCCCTATTGAGAAGATGGTATGTTTTGCAGGGGTGAGTCCGTGGCTTGAGAAATCATGGGGTTCTGTAGCCGTAGCTCACGACAGACTTCACAGTCTGTGCGACCCAGCTGTATGACCCCCCAAAGCTCCCTAAACCTCAGTTCCCCACTTTCCTAAAACGGGGATCCAGATCCTGGCCTTACTGGGATGTATGGGCTGATCCCAGGCACCATGGCAAAGCGTTTGCACAAATGACATTCCCCTTGAATCCCGCCGCTGTCATGCAGGGATCTCATCGACCCAGGGCTGCCGCTGAGAGCTAACCGTGTGAGCGTGTGCCCAGCTTGTCCCCTCTTGGACCCTCTCATGACATCTCTGTGAATCGGACGCTTTTATCAACCTGTTTTTCAGATCAGGAATGGCAGCTAAGAGCAGCTGAGCGATCTGCCCTGGGGTAGTTCACTAGCAGAGGCTGGATTTGAATTCTCTGTGCTTTGAATGCCCCTTCCTTTATTCCTCTGCACTCAAGACGTGTCTGGAATAAATCAGTTTAGCAGAGCAATTTCACGGCCAGACCTCAAGAGGAAGGAAGGCCAAAGGCAGCCACTGGACCTCAGTGTTTCTGTCTGTGAAATGGGTCTAATAAACCTGATAAGAGTCTCCAGGATTAGAGCTCCCAACTGCTGGCCTTCTGGGCCAGCAGGACACATGCTCCTCTTCTGACCCAGCTTGTCCCCATCGGGGACCCAAGTGATGGAGAGGAAGTGAGGTCATGGTGTTATCCCTGCTGTTGTTCCCGAAGGAAGGGATTATGGAATCTCTGAAGGGAAAGGGGCTCTTCATGCATCAGCAATGTGGGCAGACATACCCCCATCCCGGAAGCCTGCCCTAGACCTGCCCAATGCCAATCCCCCACTAGCTCCCAAGGCCAGGACTCCAGGCCTGTCCTCACTACCCCAGAAAGTCACCAAGTCCAAATGAGCTAACGTACTCCACCCAACCCACAGCTGCTGTACCCTGAGCCTACTGAGCCACCTGCATCTCTGTGGCTTCCTGCACCCCTCCTCTGGGTCTCCTACCCGCAGCCCTCAGCCCTCCCATCCAGCCCTTGCTCCATGAGAGAGCCACTGGGCTCTTTCTGGGACACATACCTGATCACATCACCCTCCTGCATCAGACCTGCCAGGGGATGCCACAGACCTTCCTTGGTATAAATCCCACACTCCTAGTGTGGGCACTCAGGGCCTCTGGGCTGCCCAGCCCATACAGCCCCCATACCTCCCATGCCCCCATCATACCCAGCTCTGGGCTCTTGAGTGACGGTGGCACTAATATGTCTCATGAGGTCCTCTGAGCCTCTGCACCTGCTGTTCAGTCTGGCTGGAATGCCCTTCCTTGTCTTCATTCAGTGTTCAGGACTCCATCGAGAGTCACCTGTTGGTCAGGCCTTGGCCAAGGTCGAAGCTCAGAGGTCCTGGTATTGCAGACCAGGCTCAGAACACAGTCCCTCAGGTCAAGAAGCCTGCGTCAGGGCTCAGGGCCCAGGACCCAGAGAGAACTGGGCTGCAATGCCTTCCCTTTGCTATACACTCCACTCTGGCCTGGAGGAGGGGTCCCCAGGGCACACCCCCTTGTGCTGTCACCCACCTGGCACTGAGGGCCCTGGTGCTTCTGCTCCTTATCTCCAGGACCCTCCTGCAACCTTCAGTCAGTCCCCCTCCACCTCCACCTGGGATCTCCTCCTTGCCACCTAGCTTCTAGTAGATGCCCTACCCTTCAGGCCACAGGTTCAAGTCGCACATTCTGGATTCTTCCACCACCCCTGGCAGACCCCCTTCAGGACTCCTTCTTCCCCGCAGCTCTAGAAAGAAGATCCTGTGGATCCCACCTCAGTGAGCTATCCTCATTCTAACCACATCGTCCTAACCAAGCCATCCTAACCGCATCATTCTGATCACGGTATCGTAACCACAGCGTCCTAACCATGGCGTCCTAACCACATTGTTCTAATCACAGTATCTTAACCATAGTGTCCTTATCATGGTGTCCTAACCACAGCACCCAACCATGTGTCCTAACCACATTGTTCTAATCACAGTATCTTAACCACAGTGTCCTAACCATGGCATCCTAACCACAGCATCCTAACCAAGGTGTCCTAATCATGGCATCCTAACCATGGCATACTAACCACGGCATCCTAACCACAATGTCCTAACCACATCATCCTAACCATGGCATCCTAACCACAGGTTACCATAAGAAGATGCCCCACCTCAGGACACTGCTGGACACTCCACGCAGCCCCTGGAGAGTTGTGTTGCGTGGCCGTGACTCCCAAATTTGTGAGTCTGTGGCAACAGTGAGGGTTGTCCCTGTTCTTAACACATGCGGGGATTTCCTCTGTTAGGCCACCGTCCCCTGCTGTCAGCAGCACAAAGAGAATGCCCAAGACCATGAGATCTTGCTCCACAAGGAGGCTGAGCGTCTGTGAGCATCGTGGATGTCAGGGTCACCCAAACAAAGCACCAAGGATAGTGCCTAAGCAGCAGAGCCTGACTCTCTCTCCGTCCTGGTGCTGGGAGTCTGAGACCAAGATGTGGGCAGGGTTGGTTCCCTCTGAGGCCTCCCTGTTTGGTGTGTAGATGGCCATGATCCCCCCGTGTCCTTATGTGGTCAACCCTCTGTGCACATCTGTGTCCTGATGTCCCCTTCTTCTAAGGACACCTGTCATCCCGATCAGGTCCCACCCAGATGACCCATTTTAACTTAAATACCTCTTTAAAAGCCTCATCTCCAAATATGGTTACATCCAAGGTGCTGGGGGAGCGGTATATAGATTTTGAGAGGGGACACAACACAGCACATCCCAGAAGCCAACCTCCTACCCACTCCACCTCTGGTGTCCTCCCTCCCTCCCTGCCACAGGCCCACTTCTGCTGCCTGTGTCTCTGGGAGCTTCTCTGGACCCCTAGCCTCACATTGGCTGAGAGAACCTCACCCTCCAACCCTGAGCTCTGTGCTTGGTTTCTCCCCCTTCGTGGCGGTTTTGCTTCCTGCTCCTCTGCTCAAGCTTCTGTGGCTCACCTCTCCCCCAGCCTAGCCCCGGACTGATCGCTGCTGGGTGTGCTGGAGGAATGGACAAATTCAATTCTAGCACAGGGGCTGGCACACTTTTCTGGAAAGGGCCAGACGGTAAATATCTTTGGCTTTCCAGGCTGTGCAGTCTCTGTTGTCATGACTCCTCTCTGCCCCTGGAGCAGGCAAGCAGCCAGAGACAATATGGAAATGGATGGGCTTGCCTGTGTGCCAGCGAGACCTTAATTTACAAAGTGGGTGCCAGGCCACCGTCTGCTGATGCCTGCTCCAGGGCACACGATATGAAATTATCACTTTCCTATTTAAAAAGGGCTTTTTGGAAAGTTTTCATGCCCTGGAACGTAAAATCCAGGAGCACAAGGAACTCATCCATTCTTGCTAAGCACATGGAGTCATGCCAAGTCATGCAGTAGGTGCTTAGTAAATAGCTAATGGCTCGAGCGGCTGGAGGTCCTGGAAAGGAGCTCCCCTCCCAAAATCTATATACCGCTCCCCCAGCACCTTGGATGTAACCATATTTGGAGATGAGGCTTTCTGGAAAGGCCTCAGTGGGAGAGCCCAGCAGGAGGTACGGCCTTTCATGAAGCCCAGGTGCTGAGCTAAGAGCTCATTAAGTGCACATAATCCACATGTGCACGCATATAAGACGGGCCTCCGTCCCTTTACCAATGAAAGAATGGGAGCTTAGAGAGGTAAGTAAGCTGCTCAAGGTCACACAGTGTTTGCTCATGGACCTGACCGTGATACTCCTGTGGCTGAGGGGTTCCTCCTGGGAAAGATGCGAGATCCCCTCTCGTCCTTTCTCTGGGCCGTCTGAGTGACCAGCCCAGGGCTCCTTCCACCTCAGGTCTTAATTTATCCCTCTACAAATCGGGAGAGAACCGCTCCCATCCTCGAACAGTGAGCAATTAAAAATGGGCGTGCAGCCATCAATTTCTGGTAATAAAGCCTCGGTGTTCGTGCACAGCATGACGCCTGCCATCCCCACGTGCACTGAGGACGCCCACCCCGAAACATGGTGCAGCCTTTCCAGTTCGTGGGAGGTGATTTTATAATGCACCATCAATTGCAGCAGAAATGGACCATTTCCTACTTAATACAAGACAAACACCAGCAAATAAATAAGTATAAACACACGGGGGACATCCTAGCCACTGCAGCGGACCCCAACCCAGTGGTGTCCCACGCAAAGGCTGACTGACTCCAGGTTGCTTGTCCAGGAAAGTATCAGAGGCCCTCCCAGAACAACAGAGGCCACTCCGACACAGAAACAACACGCTCGGAAGTCCAGGCAAGAGAGAAATGAAGGCGAAGGATGAGGTCAGAAGAAGGTCATTCGAAGACATGCGAGCCGGTAAGTCTGCCAACGGACGCTCACGGCAGCTGCTGTGAACCCACGCCTGTGCCTGCCCCTTCTTAGGGGAACCCTTGCCGGCCCCCCACCACCCCTGCCTGGACAGCTACCCCACTTTGCTTCACGCGTATAAACACAGACCCGGTTTCAAGGGGGCTGGAGGATGGTGGGTGCTCGGTTTTCCTGAACTGCTCGTGCAGTCATCTCTGTTGTTCTGAAGTTGTATTAAAAAGTGAACATCCCGGGCACCTGGGTGGCTCAGTGGTTAAGCCTCTACCTCTGGCTCAGGTCATGATCTCAGGGTCCTGGGATCGAGCCCCACATAGCGATCTCCGCTCCACAGGGAGTATGCTTCCCCTCTCTCTCTGCCTGTCTCTCTGCCTACTTGTGATCTCTCTGTGTGTCAAATAAATAAAGTCTTAAAAAAAAAATAAGTGAACATCCTTCCCGCTACATTCTCTATGCCTTTCTTCAAACCCCCTCCTCCATGAAGGCTTCCCAGATTGATCATCCAAGGTGTCTTTTCTTCCCTACTAAGGTTCTGGAAGGCAGTTCCAGGCTCAGATTAACTTCTCACAGTGCTGGGAAACAGAAGGGGTTCTTGGTGGGGAGCAGAACAACACTTAACAGTGTTAGAGGGCTGTGCCTGTAAGCAGGTCCCAGGGACAAGCACAGGGAACCAGGCGGGTCAGTTTGGCGCCGGTGGTCCCCAGAGAGTTGGGGTGGGAAGGGGCTGCCCGGCTCTCACATTCCTTTGATCTCAGGACCCCAGTGCAGTTTGCTGAGCCTTGAAAGAAAAGCCACCACATTAGGCTCTCCCCTCAGCAGGCTGCCCAGTCTCCGAATAAGGAAGCCTCACAGCACTCCAAGCTACAGTGCAGCACCGGGCAGAACCCTAGCCAGCTCACAGATCCGGGACCAGCAATAAGGCTTGCAGCTGGGTGCCACCTAGGTTTGGGGCTGTGTGTTCCTCTGATTAGCAGACACCTGCCTAATGCACCAGGTCTGTGGGAATGGAGAACCAATGTGGTACCACGCGACCATCCACCTCTTGGAAGTCAGAGAGCTTTGAAAACCATACAACCCTAAAAAAAAAAAAAGAAAAAAAAACCCAAAAAACAAAAAACCCCAAGGCCCTATTGTCGCTGTTACTAATTTCCTCAAATTCTTCATTCCTTTTGTAACTACAACGAAGCCCTTTTTCCTCCCCTTTTTCTTTCCTTAGAGTCACAGCAAAGAACCGAGGAAAATCACCGAGATTTCAGCTCCATTAATTTTTCAGGGCACCATAAATTAAAGAGCAATTGCAACGCAGTCAATTTCTGCAGGAAAATAAGTCTCCGTGATTGTGCTTTAGTCTAATTACATGGAAGGCTAAGTAGTGCTATTAATACCCAGAAGCACACGCTGTCCCAGAAGAAGGTGTCGGGAGTAAAGAGGCGGCCAGTGGGGCTGGAGGAACCCAGGGATGCCAGTCGGAGAGGACCAGACCGTGGCAAGGAGGCCAGATCCTGCAGCGAGCCATGGCTCAGACCAGCCGAAATCGGCGTTGGGAGGTCCTTGACCTGGGGGAACCCTCATGGGAGAAATCCATCACTCACTCACTGACTGATCCAACCAACGGGCACCCCTCCATCGATCCGTCCACCTCCCCCGTCCGTCACCCCGCAGTCCCCGTCTGTCACCCACTCACCCTTCTACCCGTCCTCAGCTCCATGTCCATCCAGCCAACAAATAGCCTCAGCCAGGAGCTTGTGAGGAAATGCTGCAGAAACTGGGCAGAGTCCGTGCCCTCAAGGGGCTTACCCAGGAGTGGGTGTGCAGGGAGTAGTCCCCACGCCGGCTGCAGTGGCTCCTCCACAAGCCACATGGACACCAGAAGCCGGAAAAGGCCCAGTCCCCCACCCCCACCCCGGAGCCTCCGGGGGGAGCGTGTCCCTTGCAGACACCTCGATTTCAATCCCGCGAAACACATTTTGGACTTCTGGTCTCCCAAGCTGTGGGAGACCCCACGTCTGGACTGGCCAGCCACGGAGCACGTGGTGATAGGAACGGATCCTGGTCTCTGTGGCAGCAAGGGCAGGTCTTCGTCCTCCCGTGCTCTCTGTGCCCTGCCTCGCCTCCTGCTCAGGCCTCACCCCTCCTGGGGCCAGCCCCGGGCTCTCCTCTCCCTTGGCCTGGAAAGAACCCTCCACCATGTTCTTTCCATCAGCCACTGGAGGGTCCCTTGGGCTCCTGTGGGGCCCTGGTGACACAGCCCCCAGAGAAAAGGACATGGACTTGGGATCTGAAGGACAAGTCACACCTACTGAAGGTAGAAAAGCATCCCAGGCCAGCAGACGGGCCCGGCAAGGCCCAGCATGGGAGGGTGTGTGGAATATTCTGGAAGTGGAAGAAGGCCTTATGGTGGTGCACCCAGAGGGGAGGCTGAGGGGGACAGCCCTAATAATTACCTACTGTTCTTCAATCCTGTCTCACGTGCTTACTTGTGCCAAGTACCTCTCACCTCCGCCTGCTTGGTTCCTACACCCCAAGGCCAACGATGGCAGCACCCACACCCCCTGGCCTTGGGCGGAAGGTCTCCGAGGACCCCATGAGGAGCAGCCTGCATTGCCCCGTGACCTCACCAAAGGAGCAGCTGTGGGTGCCCTGGGGCCCAGACACCGGCTCCACCCCTGCTTACCCTGCTCTCCTTGGTGTAGGCCAGGACCTTGTCCTCCTCCTTGGGGTGGAAAATCAGAGTCTCCACCGAGAAGGGGATGAGCTGCTTCTGGAAGGTGGCCCCCTCATCCGTGCTGAGGAACAGACTCTGGTCCCGGTCGCTGAGCGAGGAGCTCAGCAGGACGATCTGAAACAGAAAGCAGGGTGGACGTGAGCTCCCCCTCCGCACCCAGCCCCTGCACTCAGCCAGGGAGGGCGGGGCCGGAACCACGCCCCCTGCTCCCACCCTGCCCCACCCACTCCTGCTAATTAGTAACTCATTAATTCCCTCCACAACTCTGTCCCCCAGCCAGGCACTGTCCACAGGGCGAGGCCGACCACGAGCTGGGGTTTTCTGCCGTGAATAGTCCATTCTATGGGGGCAGTGTGAGATACATCAGTGTGTCGCCCACTGTGGGCCTGACCGGCAGCCTGTGGAAACAAAGCAGGGGGCTGGGGAGGCCGGGCTGGGGGCTGCGTGCAGAAGCAGAGCACTGGACCAGGTAGGGGGGCGACCCGGGACAGCAGGCGCTGGGCAGGAGCTCGGATGTGAGGTGGCCGAGGGGGACGGGACTGGATAGTTAACAGCGTGTCTGGCTCCATGAGGCCTTAGAGGGCACCGTGGTGGGTGGAATGGGGAACCCGGAGAGACACCATGTCCCTGTGTCCCCACCCTAGTTCCTGTGAAGGTGACCTCACTTAGAAACGGGGTCTGCACAGGTGGGATCAAGTTAAACATCTCAGGATGAGGTCATCCTGGGAACTGGCAGGCAAGGTGCCCATGGAGAAGATGAGGGACAGCCCCGCCACCTGCAGAATTCTCCCGTGGGTGGGGGTCCCATAAGGCCTCTCTTGGTTCCGCCCAGAGGGTCAAGAAAGTTGGGGAAGCCGGCCTGTGGCCCTCTCTGGGTTTGTCCACTTCCCAAGCACGTAGGTACATGCCCTCCTGGGCTGCGAGGTGCCCCGGGTCTTCCAGAAAGTTCAGGAAAGGCCGACTATGGGTCAGAACAGGTTGGCCCTGCTAACTGCACACAGGGGACCAAAGGGACCCTCAGAAAGAGAGAAAAGGGGGAGAGGGAGAGGCTTCCCTCCTTCCCCTGAGGCCAGAGAGGGTCAGCCAGTCTGGAGGGTTGGGAAGACGATGTGGGCTCCTACCACTGTGAGAGGATCCCACTCCCCCAGACCACATGGTCAGCCCCCAGCAGCATGGGTGGGCCCAGTCTCTACCTCCACCCTCTTCTGGGAGTCCCAGTTTCCACAATGAAGCTGGGGGTAGTCTTCCTACGCACACACCTCATGGAAAGTTCTGGGCTCCTCACGGCCCCAAGGAGACTGTGACCTCTGTGACAGGGTCTGCAGGCTCCTCCTGGACTGGCCTCCCTCCCTGACTCCTGCTTGTGAGCTGGCCACAGCCAGTAGGGTCCACCCACGTACAGCCCCCTCCCCACAACACCTGTTTCCTCTGTTTCCCCCTCACCCCCGGGGCCCAGTGGAGCCCCCTGATTCAAGGCCACAGGGGACCTGGTATTTGCCCAGCAAAAGCTCACCACCTGTCATGAAGGTAGCCTCTTCTCCCAGGACTGTGGCCCCTTGGGGCCGGGGCCAGGTCTGTGGGGTTTCCTGCTATCCTCCTCCCCACCCCCACCCCTGCAGGGCCTGGGGACTCCACACACTTATTGAATGAATGAATCAATGAATGAATGAATCAATCAATGAATGAACGAACAGATACCATGTGCTGATAGAATAGGGGTCAGGGCACACTCAACCTCAGATAGCCCAGTTCAAATTCCATGTCTGTGTGACCTGAAGCAAGCTGGCTGGCCATTCCCTGCCTCAGTTTCTTTGTCTGTAAAATGTGGAAAATAATATGGTGCCTGGCATTGGGCGAGCCTGCAGTTAAAGTCTACTGTGAGTGTTCGAGACCACCACATCCTCACTAGAGCTCAGTGGGGCAGTTATGATCTCTGCTCGGTGGATGGGGAAACCGAGGCACAGAGAGGGGAAGCAAACTGCCTCAGGTCATACACCGTGTAGGAAGGAGCCAGGGTCTGGAGTTGAGAGGGAGCCCATGCAGGGTGGGGTGCCGGTGGGGAAGGGGGGTGGGACCAGCCCAGCACCGAGATGACCTCTTCCTTCCCAGGGGCGGGGGCTATGGGACACTAAGCCCCCATCATGTGGATGCCCCACTGCGATGGGCTCCCCACACCCCAACATTTCCTCTAGAAGACGATGAAGCACACGGGGCAGAAATCAAGAATTGCACGAGCTCCTGTCTTTACAAACGGTATCTCATGCGCTCTTTCCAGGGGAACCCTGAGGAGTTGTGCAAGCCACAGCTGGTCTCCCATGGCAGAGATCCCGCCCGCGCTGGCCAGCCGAGGGGGCCGAAAGAGAAGGGCAGGTAGGGCACTCCCAGAGCCTGCCTCTAGGCGGCCGTGCTCTCGGAAGGTGGAGGAGCCTTGTGGGAGGTGTCCCTCGGGGGTGGTTTCCAGGCAGGAGAAGCAGAGGGGCCAAGAACGGGCACGTATAATCATCCCAGGAAATGTGGAATGACAAGGGCGCTCACGCACTCACAAAAAGAAGTGAGTGCAAATTTACGAGAGACTATGTATCTCCCAAAGACAAAACGTCAGGAAGCCTATGATAATTTTGCCAATGGTTACCATAGGAGAGTACACCTGATCTTATCAGCAGAGGTGCACAGAAACGGGAGTGGAGGGCTCACTGTTCAGCCATCATATAAGAGGAAACGCCACCCCTCGTGACCCCAGGGATGGACCTTGAGGGCGTCATGCCCAGTGGGAGACAAATGCCCTGAGATCAGGCTTGCAGGTAGACTCTTGTAAACAAAGCAAAGCCTGAGCTCACAGCTCCAGAGAACAGGTGGGCACCGCAGGGGGTGGGTGGGCGAGGGGTGACTGCGTCAGAAGGCCCACACTGCCCGTTGCCAAGTGAGCAGGTCTCGGGCTGCCATGGGCCCAGCATGGTGACACACAGGACTGTGTGTCTGGATGTGGCTGAGAGAGGGGATCCTGAACGGTCTCCTCACGGGAAAGCATCACTGTGACATCGTGTGGCAGCGGATGGTAACCAGGCGTACAGGGACGATCGCTTCCCCGTAAAGACTGAATCATGATGTCCTACGCTCGAAACTAAGGTAATGTTACATGTCAATTACACCTCAATTTTGAAAAAACCAATGAAAGCAACACGAGGACCTTAATAGTGTTTTTAAGTGGTGGAGTTAGAAGGAGTTTCTTATTTTCAATGAACGCTGTAGCTTAGAATAGTTTTAACTTTACAGAAAGGTGGCAAGGATAGGACAGAGAGTCCCACAGCGCCCGAGGCAGTGTTCTCTGCCAGGATAGCTCACGTCAGTGTCAGATGTCTGTACGGTTAAGGAGCCAGCATACCCACATATGTACGGTCTGAACCACGTGCTACGTTCCTCGAGTGGCTTTTCCTGGTCTGGGATCCCATCTAGGAACCCACATGACATTCAGGCGTCACACCTCCTTAGCTCCTCTGGGCCATGACTTTCTCAAAGGCACCTTGTTTTTCTTGACCTTGACACTGTTGAGAAGCTCTGGTTGGGTCTTTTGCAGACTGACTCTGATTTCGGCTTGTCTAGGCTTTCCTCGTGGTAAAAACTGGCGTCAGGGGTTTGGGGAAGGAAAGGCACAGAGGTGAGGACCCTTCTTGTTGCAGTGGGCCCAAAGGGGAGCCCACAGCCATGGTGCTGGCCTCACCAGCCTTGTGGTACTGGTTCAGGGCCCCCCAGAGGAACAGGCCCTCCTTTCTTCCCTGCGTCCACGATGCCCTCTTGGAGGACAGCCCCCTGCACAGCCCACACCTGCGGTGGGGAGAGCGGCTCCCCTCCTTGAGGCAGAGGAGCTGAGAGCCTTCTTGTGAATTGTTCTGCATGGGAGACTGGTCTCCTCACCCCTGCACTTACTGACTCATTTATTTACGTCACTATGAACTCATGAATATTTATGTTAGACTTTGAGTTGTAATTCAAGGCTGTTCTGTTATCTCATTGCCCCAAGGCTCCCACTCTGGCTAGTGGTGGGGAGGGGGGCTTGGGCGGTCTCCTTTGCCACAACACCCTGCTTCTATTTCTAAATGTTGCTCTGTGCTGCACCTGGTCTCCCCGGATAATCGGGAAGAATGAAACAAGTCACCCAGATTTCTCACCCATCTTACTGGAGATGGCTGGGTTCACTCAGCATCTGCCCAAATGTGGCCCAGGCTCTGTGCCCCACCCCAGGGCGGCTGCCCACATGCCTGGCTCCTTGGGGCCATCTGGCCAGGGAAGCCCAAACGTCACTCCTCAAAACGCTTTCTCATGATGACGATTTCTCCATGTTCTTATGATGCAACGATTGACTTAGCCACCTCCCCCAGGAGATTGTGCCTCTTGAGCGCAGGGATGGCGACCTGACTCCTGTTCTGCTGGCACAGAGCCCAGCGCGCTGTGGGTTAATCCCTGCCTGACGGATACCGACTGAATGCATGCACAGGTGAATGAATAAAGGAGTCCATCTCAACCCTTGATTCCGAGAGGAATTATTTGTCCGCTCTTTTCCTCTGGGAGGAGAACATTCCTAGAGCTATAGCAGAAGCCTGGAGACGTGACGTCATAACAAACCTCATTTACTTCTCCCCATTACCCAGAGCTTCACACATCAGAGAAGACTCATTCATTCACTCATCCATTCCTTCATTCTTCCGTTGGTGCTAAGACCACAGAGTTGAGCAAAGATTCAGGTGTGACCAGGACTTTGTGGCAGCAGAGCCAAGGGGGAAAGGAGAATCCAGGTACGGGGCCCAAAGGAAGGCTTCCTAGAAGAGGTGACCTCCCACCCCAGGTGAGCTTCGTGAAAAATGGATGGAAATTTGACTGGCAGACCCAGGGGAGGGTGTTTCAGTCAGAGAGGACAGCATGACGTGAGGGTGGGGGTCCCTGACCCGCCTCTCCCCCCACCCCCTGCCTCAGGCTTCAGGTGTCAGCCCCATAGAGCCCTGCTGTGTTTCTCCAGTTCCCTGAGACTGTTCACATCTTGACTGCCTTTTCACGCATGGTTCCCTTGGGCTAGAATGTGCGGTGGGACCAAGACTCCCCCAACCTCATCGCAGATAATT